CACTGGTGCATCCTACATCTCGGGTCCCACCAGCTCCCTGAGGCTGGTCATGGAGGCCCTGGGGGCCAAGGAGCAGAGGACAGATGAAGTAAGATGCTAAGGGGTGGGGTCCCAGGGTGGGGGGGGCACCCTCTTGGACCAAGTCCCCAAATCACCCCAGGCAACATTAGGTCCCAAATGAGGCCATTTCAGGCCTTCTCCTTGTCACCTCTCACTCTCTCCACACCAGGCTAGTCCCTCCTGGAGGCAGGGCCAGCATAATACTCTCCAGCAGAGGGGTCAGGTCACGAGTGGGGCTCGTGGTTTGCTGAGAGTTCCCACGCTCAAAAGGGCTCCCTTGACCCCTTTCCTCCCCAGTATGTCGTGAACTGCAACCAGGTGCCCACCCTCCCTGACATCTCCTTTCACCTGGGAGGCAGGGCCTACACGCTCACCAGTGCTGACTATGTGTTACAGGTGAGGCGCAGGGAGGAAGGGTGGGCAGGGACCCTTGCAGGGGGATAAGTCGCAATGCATAGATTACATGCTAAGCCATGGTTTCCAAAATTGGCTGCTCATGTCACCTGCAGAGCCTTTAAAAATCCCAGTACCCAGGCCCCACCCCACACCTGTGAACCCAGAACATCTAGGAGTGGCACCTGGGCAGTGTGGTTTCAAAGCTCCCCAGGGAGTTCCAGGGTGGAGCCACATTTGTGAATCACTGTCTTTGGTTTGTCCCTCTAGCACCATCCATTTTCTCATCAAATGTTCCTGATAATCTATATATATATATATATCTGCAGGGATTGAACCTGGGGCATTTAAACACCGAAGAACATCCCCAACTCTATTTAGAGATAGTCTTGCTGAGTCTGTTTTTTTTGGTTGTTGTTTTGGTACTGGTGATTGAACTCAGAGGCACTTGACCACTAGCCACATCCCCAGCCCTATTTTGTATTTTATTTAGAGACAGGGTCTCACTGAGTTGCTTAGGGCCTCACTTTTGCTGAGGCTGGCTTTGAACTTGTGATCCTTCTGCCTCAGCCTCCCAAGCTGCTGGGATTATAGACGTGTGCTTCTTATGCTTAGAGAAATCACACGTCTAGGGTCAGAATCTAAAGCCAGACTGTGAGCGCTTGAATGCAGCTCAGTGCCTGGTGGGTTGCCTGCCTGGCTCTAGCACAGGGCCCTGGTGCAATCCATGCAGAGTTCAGATGGCCAAGATGTGATGAAGGCCCAGGGTGAATGGGGGAGGGAAGGTAGAATGTTACTGAAACAGATGAAGGGCAAAGGGAGGCTGGTTTTTGCTGAGCAGTACAACAACCCTCCTGCTTCCTGCCAGGACCCCTACAGTAGTGAGGACCTGTGCACATTGGCCCTCCATGGCCTGGACATCCCACCGCCCACTGGGCCCATCTGGGCCTTAGGTGCCAGCTTCATCCGAAAGTTCTACACAGAGTTTGATCGGCATAATAATCGTATTGGCTTTGCATTGGCCCGCTGAGCCCTCCGCTGCCTGGGGAAACCCTGACTTCAGCCTGAGTCCCTCTGCCTTGGCCTGTACGCTCATGTGGGGACACTGGATGTGGAGCTCCTGCTAGATGCTTGCCCTGCCCCCTGCACCAGCCCTTCCCTGCTCTGAGAATAAAGACTTCATGTTCATGATCCATAGCATCTGGATTTACTTGCTTTTGGAACAGAGAGGGGAAGTTGCATGGTCATGTGTGAATAGGAATGTGACAAAGACCAAACAAATTCCAATTCACCCTGTTGCACAGGTCCCTGCATGCAGAGATGATGCCATCTGTTTGTTGTCAACAGGGCTTGGTGGAGTTTGTTTACACAACCTTGGGTGGAAGTATTTCGGAGAGTCAACTCCAGTCCCTTCCAGTCCCTCAAGGATCAAGGCTAATGCTGCAGCAGAAGCTGTGGGCCAGAAAGATGCCCCTAGGGCACGGAGCCCTCTCCAAGCCCAGACTCTGTGCTCCACACGCTGTGAAACTCCCTTCACCTGCTTCTCCTCCTCTGTAGACCCTGCCCCACCCGGTGTGGCCATTTACACAGGCAGTCTAAGGCACCACCCTCTAACAAGGCAGACGAGCAGAGATCCAGCCAGTACCCCCTCTTCATATGTGGGAAAACAGGCGCACTGAATGGCAAGCATTTGCCCAAGATCACTCAGGAAAGAATCAGGTAGTGAAGAATTAAGCCTAGAACCCAGTTTGTCAGGCTCAGGTCCTGAAGGTTTTCCACCTGATCCTCACAGCTGGAACTGTCGCAGGTACCGAGCTCATGTGTAGGGTCACGTGTAGGCGCATAGACGCTTACACTGCTATCCTCCGTTGGGTCACACGACTAAACGGTCAAGGTCACTCCAAGTGAACTTGGGGAATAAATAAAGACACAGACACAGAAAGTACCTTTTCTTAGGATTCAGTGACCACTCCTCAGCCGCAGCTCCCACAAGAGGGGGAAGGCAGGCAAGAAAGAGAGAGAATAGCACAGCATGTGCTGAACCCTTTTATTGGGGAGAAGCCATTCAAATGAGGCAAGAGGTCAGGTTTACAGGGGGTTGAGTCTAGCTTCCTGATGTCTTGCTGTCAGCAGGTTGACTGACATCTAGGAAGGCCACACCCATCTCATGTGCTGTGTGGGGATCTTAGGCAGAGCCAGCAAAAAGATGCATAAGTTGCCCGCTCAATGCTCATAGTCACACACACACAGCCCATGGCTGGCTTGCCACATCTCCACATTCTCATTGCTCAAGGCTAAGGGATGCTGGGTTCCCATGTGGCAGCTCCCAACAATCCTCCATCTCATGGACTTGAGACTCCTTAGGCAGAGTCTCTTCTCACACTGTTACCCCAAGGACTGTCCAGGTGTGTAGGTTGGGAAATGAGAAAGCAGCAGCCACCTGAAGCCACTAATGCTGTCCCTTAACTGTAGCTACTCAAACCTCTTTTGCCTGAAAAATATGAGTCTCTGAATGTTCCAATCAGGCTCTTGGTACCTCTAGGAATGCAGCTTCCTGGGACTAGATGGGACCCCAGGGATGGCTTTATTTTCTCAATGCAAAAGGAAAAAATGAGCAGTGCCGCAGTCCGGCTGCAGCAAAATAACGGGGGGGGGGGGTGACGAACAACTTGTGTAGATTGTAGATTGATACAGCAGGAGTGGGAGCCGTTTATTGTAGGACAGGAGCAGTATTTATACATTCCACACAGCTTATCTAATTAGCATAAACTAGATACATCAGTCAACCAATCAGGAATCTCCACACTTAATGGCTTGCTTTTGTTACCTCTCAAACCACTCCCTCTGGCATTTTGCCAGGCACCATCCAGACTTGTTTACCAACTCTAACATTCCCCTGGCAAAATGCCAGATGTTATTTTGACTTGTTTACAGACTCCAACAGAGCAGGGCATGGGGGCGCATGCCTGTAATCCCAGCAGCTCAGGAGGCTGAGGTGGGAGGATCGCAAGTTCAAAGCCAGCCTCAGCAATGGCAAGGTGCTAAGCAACTCAGTGAGACCCTGTCTCTAAATAAAATACAAAATAGGGCTGGGGGGTGTGGCTCAGTGGTTGAATACACCTGAGTTCAACCCCTGGTACCAAAAATAGGAAAAGCTGGAGGCAGTGTTCTTTCCAGACCTGAATCCTAAGGATCCATGACCTGAAGTAGGCAGGCCCCCATGTTGTCCAATACAGTGGCCACATGAGGTTGTTTACATTTAAGTTAAATACAATGTCACACTAGCTACATTTCAAGTGCTGATAGCCACCTGTGGCCAGTGGTCACTGCATTAGACAGCACAGATACTTCAGTAGGGCAGAGCTGGGTTATGGACAGAAATAATCATAGGGTCTTGTGGTTGAGAGGTTCCTGGGTAGGCCAAAGGGATAACTTGGGGACACAGAAACAGGTCCCTTTTCTGTAGGCACTGAGTGAGACAAAGTAAGATGGTGACTAGTGAGGTCCATGAGGCAGGACAGTGAGTGATGGCAGCCAACAGGAGGTGACAGAACGAGTAGTGAAGACTACAACTAACAGTGGCTTCCCCATAGGCTGGTCTGGCCTCTCCACATCTCCTCTTCCTCATAGCAACTGCCCTGGCACACCTTGTCAGCTCACCTCTTTGTGTCCCACTCCCCAGATATTGCTTATTCTGTTTTGGCCCTATGCCAGGCTTCTACCTCTTCTCCCAAAAGGCCAGTCCAAAGTCTATCCACCTCCACACCCCTTTGCCCAACAAAGCACTGGGATAAGGGACACCTGCTGGGCTACTATCTGCCCCCAGTCAAACTCTTGGGTCAGGAGGGAGGCTTTAATAATTTATTACTGACCAAAACTCAGTCCTGCTCAAAGTCTTGGCCTAGAATGTGCCCCAATACTCCAATGCCCTGGAAGGTTCAGTGACCTGTCAGAAGACAAAGTCTGCCGGCTTAGCATGCCCACCTCCAAAACCATCTCCCAATATCCCTCTCCATTAAATATGTGTGTGTGAGGTGGTGGTGGCAGTGGGGAGTACCCAGGAGTCCCCGCAGGGAAGGAAGGGCCTTTGAGATGCAGCAAGGGCCACTCCTGCAGATCCTTTTCTGGGGGCCCAGGGACTGAGCTCAGAAGCAGGGACCAGGATGGGTGGGGGGGATTCAAGCTGATGTTTTGGGAGCACTCGGATTTCCATAACCCAGGATGAGGAGGGGCGCCGAAGAGCCCTCCCCGCCCCTGCCCAGCTGCTGGGAAACTGGTGGAGAGTGCCCGGAGCAGCCCCAGCTGGGACCCACGGGCGGATCCTGCAGAGGCTCCGCCCCCGGCGTCACCGCCCCCCCGGGGGGGGCGTCACCCCCCACCCCGCGCTCCAGGTAGCTGAGACCACAGCTGCCCGCGATGGCAGGCGGCGCTCCACGGCGGCCCTCGGGCCGGGGCGGGGGCGGGCAGGGGGCGTTCCCGTGGCCCGTCGCCCGTGATGTCACAATCGCGGCGGGCCGGGCGCTCCGGGGTCGGCTTCGGGCGCCGGGCCGAGAGCCGGCGATCGAAGCGGGCAGCTGGCTCCTGAGTCATGGACTTCCCCTGGCCCCTCCTCTACCACTCCCACTCCCTCGCCGGGCCCCCCCGCAGGGGCTAGCGCTCGCGCGGCGGCTCCGAGGGGGTGGGGCTGCTGGGAATGGCTGTGCCCCCTTCGGCTCCTCTGCCGTGCTCGCCCTTTTACCTGCGGAGGCAGGCGCCTTGCCCGCAGTGCTCATGGGGCATGGAGGAGAAGGCAGCGGCCAGCGCGGGTTGCCGGGAGCCGCCGGGCCCCCCGAGGGCCGCCGCTGTCCCGTGCTTCAGCGTCTGGGTGGACCAGGACGACATCCTCCCGGGCGCCCTGCGCCTCATCCAGGAGCTGCGGCCGCATTGGAAGCCGGAGCAAGTTCAGACCAAGGTAGCCAGCGGGTGCGGGGCCGGGATGGGGCCCTGCCGAGGCTGCAGCTGGGCTGCGTGGACGCCTGTCCATGCATCCTTCCGGGTGCCGGTCCCAGGGGTGCGCGACCGCTTTCTCAGGACAGCTTTGGGACGTGGTTTGTATGCCTGTTTATCCCACCGTCTATTTTGGTCCCGAAGCAAAGGCAGGCGCACGCCTCCTTGGACCTTCCACACACGCCTCCTCTCCGGGTTCTTCTGCTCGCGGGAGGTCCACCTGCCCACTGTCAGCGTGCTACGCGTGCGGGCCCCACCCCCTGTCCCTGCTTGCTGGTGCCCCTAGCTGCCCAGAAGCGTTTACCCAGCCAGCTGTGAAACCTGAGGAGGCAAGAACTTTTAAGGGAACCCCATTACCATCACCATACACGTGTTGCTACCCCTTCTCCACCTCCATGGTGGAAGCAAAACCTCCAGGTTGTGAGCAGCCCCTAAGAGTCCCTGGAGCCACCTCGTGGAATCCAGCCAGCATGGAGCCCCTCACCATGACTGCAGGCTGGGACTCAGCACGCACACACGCTAATCTCCAACAGGCGCCTTGCCCACCCCAGCTGGACACGCTCTCCCTGACACACCTGTGGGCAGAGCTTCCCACTGAGCAGTGCCAGGCTGACTCCCCAGCTGACCTGCATTCTCGGAAAGGAGGCCTCCACCTGCCCACCACCCCCACGCCCCTTCCGGGCTGCCTATGAAGGCAAGAGCGGAGCTGTTAAGGCTTCATGCTGATGGGCTTTCTGGGTAGAGAAAGGCAAAGTTCTGGGGAGATTCTGGACTTGAATGTGGAGGCTGACAGAACCCTCCAGGGAGTGGGCAGCATTTTCAGAAGGCCCAGTTTGGTGTGTTAAGACGTCAAGCAGGGGGCTGGGGTTAGCTCAGTGGTGGAGCGCTTGCCTGGCATGTGTGAGGCCCTAGGTTCCATCCCCAGCACCACATGAAACTAAATAAATAAAATAAAGGTATTGTGTCCACCTGAAAATAAAATTTTTAAAAAAAAGACATCAAGCAGCCTGTGGTGTTGGCACATGCCTGTAATCCCAACCACTCATGAGGCTGAGGCAGGAGGTTGGCAAGTTCAAGGCCAGCCTCGGTAACTTAGCAAGGCCCTAAGCAACTTTGTGAGACCCTGTCTGGAAATAAAAAATAAAAAGGGGCTAGAGATGTAGCTCAGTGGTAAAGCACCCCTGGGTTCAATTCCTAATATGGAAAAGGAAAAAAGACATCAAGGGATCTGAGGTCATTTCCAGCACTAACCAGCCTAACATTTCAGCTGCCAGCCTCTCCCTCTCCTGGTCTCAGTTTCCCCACCTAGAATTGGTCCAAATGTCCTCTAAGATCCCATAAAGCTCTGTCATAATGTGCCCTCCCCTCAAACCCATGGTTTCTTCCTCCTTATAACCCTATCCATAGAGCCTGTGCCCCAGCCCAGTTGTCTCCTATCTCTACTGGTATGGAACTCAGAGGCTCCAAGGACCTCTGGCCTCCAAAGTCCTGGGATGGGTGCCAACCTCAGTACCTTCCTTGTACCTCTGCTGCTGGATAGAGCCAGAGGTACAGCAAAGAGCCCTCTGCCTGGCAACAGTGAGAGGCAGCTGGTCAGGACATTCTGTCCCGGGTGACTCCCAGTCTTCCTCTGCCACTTTCTGGTCCCATAGGTTGTCTTTCAGGACAGGGATGGAGGAATAGGGAGGGGGGGGGACTTCTACCCACCACCCAGTGTGGACTTTCCTCTACTGCCAAATCACATCCACTAGGGTCAGACCCAGGGGAAGAAGTGTGCCTGCCCTGAGCCCAAGCTGCCATTTTTTTTCTCCTTTGGGCTCTCTAGTCTATCCTAAGGTTAGGGACAGGACTGGGTTGTATGTTGCTGTGGCCAGCATTCAAATGAGCCTCTCCTGCTGAGGCACTGGGGGAGAGACCAGAGACATCCTGCCCCACCCACCCACAGCTGTCCTCTCCCTGTGCTAGCGCTTCACTGATGGCATCACCAACAAGCTGGTGGCCTGCTACGTGGAGGAGGACATGCAGGACTGCGTGCTGGTCCGGGTGTACGGGGAGCGCACAGAGCTGCTGGTAGACCGAGAGAATGAGGTCAGGAACTTCCAGCTGCTGCGAGCACATGGCTGTGCTCCCAAACTCTACTGTACCTTTCAGAATGGGCTGTGCTACGAGTACATGCAGGGCGTGGCCCTGGGGCCTGAGCACATCCAAGATCCCCGGCTCTTCAGGTAAGGAGGGTGCAGGGTTCTATTCATCTCTGTTCCTCTGGCCTTGAGCTTTGAAATCCTTGGCTCCCTTCGTTGCTGTAGAGTGGTCTCCATGGAGGAGAAGGAGATCTGTGAGCTCCCTGAGATTACATGAACGTGTGTGTGTGTGTGTTGTGCATTGCTTTGCAGAGAGGCGATGGCTTTCTGTGGGTTTTCATTGGAGTTTGCTAGAAGGATGAGCTCTGGGGGAGGAAAGTGAGAATTTTAATGAACATTGGACCCAAGTTTCTGGTTCCTGAAATGCAGCAGAGATCTGCTTCCTGATCCCATGCCTCAAATCTCTGCCCACCCCTGGTCTGACCTGGAAACATCTCAGAACTTTGGAAATGAAATCCGAGCCAAATCCACAGGAACACACTCAGGTTTTCCTGCCTCTCCTCACCTTCTGCAAGACCTTAGGTGTGCGAGGAAAATGGGCTGTATCTAGGGTGTGCATGGCTTTATGGAACAGAGAGAACCCTCCCTCCTGCTGGTCTGAGCTCTTTTGGGGCTCCCTGACAGTGTGAGAATCCAGGTTTGGGGAGCTGCTGAGGCCTTCTTGCAAGGGCTTCAAAGAACCCATGACCCTTGGGGGGCCCCTCCCCATAAATATCTGGATGTGTAGTGCCTAGAAATTGTACTTAACCTTTAAACCCTGTGGATGCTGCTGTGGGGCCCATAAAGGGACTAATCAAAGTGTCCCTAGTGTACTTCTCTGGATATGCCACAACAAGGGTACCAAGCCATGTCCTTCCTCTTCCCCACAATGCTATGAGCCCTGGTGAAGACATCAGTGAGTGAGGCCTGAGACAGGCTGAGGTTATTGGGGACAGCCGTGCAGGGTCTGCCTAAGATCCTTGGCTTCTGTTCTGTGCAAAGCAAGGGAAAGGAAACCTCTGCATACCGAGGGCAAACCATGAGGCCCACCTGGGGGTAGGCCAAGGGCATCTTTGCTTCCTCACCTGCCACCCAGTTAGCCCAAGTAAGTATACCCGGCTCTCCAGGGACTCGGGGAGTCTGAGAGCCCCTCCACCTCCATGCTCCTGAGCACTACCTCAGGCTGCTAGGGCCCCGTGAGTTGTGCCTTGTAGCTGTGCTTGGAGTGCGAGGCGTGCACACCTGTGCAAGGGTCGCTTCAGCCTCCAGTGAACAGCTCCAAATGCACCCAGCCTGGAGATGTGAGGTCAGAGGAGGGTGTGGGCACCAGGCCCTGCTTCTCCCACTGAGCTCCTTCCAGCTCCCCTTTGGTCTTGTGCAAAGAGGCTCAAACATTGGCAGGTCCCCACCACTCCCAGTCTCCCTCCGCCTCTTCGAACCTCATGCTGTCACTCATCCTCTCGGTGGAAACAATTGCCACTGTCAGGAAGATTGAAGAGGGATTTAGGTTCCATAACAAGAACTTGGCATTTGGGGGAGAGCCAGACATCCGGAGAGATGAAGGAGGTAGGCCCTTCCTTGATTTTTTTTTTCCCCCCCCAGGACAGACCATTTTCCTCCAGGTGAGGGTGGATGTCTGAGGGGAAGGCCTCACCCTCCCGAGTTCCCCTGAGCCCATAGCCCAGCCCCTCTGCTGAGGCTCCGCAGGAAAAAAAAAAAATGCTGAGTGTCGAGGTTACTTTCATTGCTATTCAGACAACAGTCCTATTGATATGCAAGGAAACGCTCTGTTCATGCTCTGTTCGGAATCTTCCTTTGGGAAGGAAGGCCAGGCCTGGGTCTCAGGTCTGTTTCCTTGCCTTGCCCACAGCTCTGTGGACCCCTCCTGCCCCAGGACCTCCGGCCTCCAAACACCCAGCCTTCCTTTCTCGCCCTTGGAGCTGCTGCCACACCCCCTGCTCCTCTACCCTTTAGGAGGTGGGACCCTTGGGGGCTTCTGGAGGAGGCCTGAAGCTGCGCTGTATCACCATGGGGCATGGCCTGTCCCTTCCCACATGGGGCAAGGAGAGAAGGGGTATCCCTGGGATAGCTCTGTAAACAGCCCATGCCTTTGTTGTCTTTCCTAGTGATTATCATTTGGGCAACAGGCAGAGGCAAAAAAGCTTGGAAGGTTGACTGTCGGAGGCTTGGCAGATGGGTGGGGGTGGGGCTGCAGAGGGAGGGCTTGGCAGAGGGGTGGGAGTCCCACTGGGACACAGGCCTCAGCGCTGGGACCCTTATCGAGGCCCTCCCTCTCTGACCGGTCAGCCTCCAGCCACCCCCACCCTCTCCCAGCAACCTTCTCCGCCGCCCACTCCTTCTCTCCCGGGACCTTGGATAATGTCCACAGGAGGACTTGAAAATAGAAGGCTGGTTTGTTTTGCGTCCTTGGCACCCTGCCGCCAGCATCAACTCCCTGCGGCCAAGGAAGGGCTGCCCCAGCCCCTGGTTTCCCTCCCCACCTTGGCCAGCCTGATAAGAGGCCTGAGTTTCTCCCCACCTGCCACCATCATCCCTGATCTTTTGGTGGAAAGGGACCTGCTATCAACTCCCCTGAGATGATGGGGCAGGGCCCAGGGGGGAGAAAGGACACTACCCCTAGTCCCAGGTACCCCTGCTTTCATGGTTGCTTCAGAAACACTGGGGTGGGGCGAGATTGACGTGGGGCCAAGAGCCCTTTGCTCTGGCCTGCTCTCTGAAGCAGCCCAGCTCTGGAGACCGAGCTGCTGGGCTGAAGGTCTTACTACATTTTCATGCTTTCTGTTGAGACTCTCTTCCTGGGAAACCTTTGCTGCTGAAAGAGTTGTAACCATCCCACACTGGGCCCTCTAGCTAGCGTCCCCATGAATCTCCCAGCCAGTCTGGTCAGGAGAGACCAAGTAGGGAAGGCATGCCCAGCACTGACACACTCTCCCCCTCTTGTTTTCTGCTACTGTAGGTTAATTGCCTTAGAAATGGCAAAGATTCACACCATCCACGCCAATGGCAGCCTGCCCAAGCCAACCCTGTGGCACAAGATGCACAGTTATTTCACGCTGGTGAAGAATGAGATCCACCCCAGGTACAAAGGTCTGGGAGGGTGCAAGGCTGCCACTGTCTCTGCTGTTGTAATCTGCTCCCTTGTCCCTGTTCTTTTGGCTCTAGCCCCCTGCTCCCACTACAAGAGGTTTAGGGGACAGGGCCTGGGATGGGGCCAAGAGCTTCCCTGGCAGCTCCTTTGGTCCCAGTTGCTGGGCCTCCGTCTCCAGGCTAAGTTAGGCCGGTTGATCGCATCTTAAAAATATAGATCAGCAGTTTTATACACATGTGCTTATTTCTTCTTGAGTCTTCGATGGTGGCAGGGACTAGGGTCAGGGGAACTTCTCTCCTCCGTGTTACTTAAAGGAAACTGAGGTTCAGAGACAGAGCTTTCCCCAGCGTCAGGCTGCCAGGCAGGGCTTCTGTTTTTCAGCCCAGGGTTCTTTCTGCCTGAGCTGCCCTCTGGACAGTGGGAGGGCAGGGTGCTCTGAGAACAGGGAGGGACTGAGCTCAGAGTCACTCAACAGAACAGCTCAACAGCCAGCAAACCCTCGGGACATGCTGGCTCCTGCTGCCTGCCTGGCCTCCTCTCATGCCCACATGGCTGACACTTGCTATTTCCTGCACCACTCTTTCCAGGGACTGAGGTATAACCCCCATCCTGACACTGCCTTTCCCCAGGCAAGGCAGGGCACCCCGAGTTTTTCCTTCAGCTCTTTGGACAGACAGACCTGAGTCCCAGCACACCCCGGGGTACCTAGGAAGGACAGAGGCCTGTTTACCCCTCCCCTCCAAAAGTCAAAGTCAGCATTGAATCTCTCCATGCACCTTGCTAGGTTCAACATCACTTTTAAAAATATATACATTTTAAAAAGTTTTAAGTTAACAGAATTGTACATATTTATGGAGTACAGTGTGCTATTTGGATACCTGTATAAAATGCGTAATGATCAAATCAGGCTCGTTGGTGTATCCATCACCTCGTGGGTCGTTTCTTTGTGTTGGGAATGTTCAAAGTCCTCTCTACTAGCCATTCTGAAATATGCAATTAACTTGAACATCATTTTCCTTCTAGAGGTTCATGGGAAATCTGGGAGAAGGTGTCTCCTCCCTCCTCTAAGATGACACTCATTAACCCTGTCCCCATTGTGTGTCTCTTGAACACACACGTGACTTTATCTGGACCCTCGTGCTTAACGATTATCAAGCACTGCTTTGGAACTGTTTGTCCAGGCTGGCCCCAGCCTGCCCTCTATTTGACCATGTTCAGACCTGTATCACATGTTATCTCTGGAACAAGGACACCCTTCTCCCTGGGGACTGGAAAGACACATGGAGAACAGGACCCTCCATCCACCACTTGGTTCGACAGACAGGAAAAACTGAGGCCCAGAGGGGATGGGACTTGCCCAAGGTCATTGCCGGTCAGTGGCAGCTCAGGGACTGGAGTGCCTCCTGGTGCTCAGGCATGATCTTTGTACTGCAGTGTCCTTTGCCTGTTGTCCCTGTGTGACCTTGGAGAGGTGTCCTTGTTGGGAGGAGAGAGATCCCTGGAGAAGAGCTGGCCAACTCCCTTTGCTCTTGTCATGCCTTTGACATTGGACAAATTAAGGTTTAACTTCTTAGAGCCTCTTTAGGAGATGACCCCCTGCCCTATGCTGAGCAATCCTGGACACTAACTAGACAAAGCACCTTGAACTCCTAACCCTGGTTTATCCAGTTCTTCATTTCACAAACATGGAGTGACTGGGATTTAAGATAATAAAAATTTTAAAATGATCGTGTCATTGGCCCTGTCCTCAAGGAGCTTAGGAGTCATCTGGGTAAACAGGACCTGCCCAAGCTTGACTACAAAAGAAGGCGAGGTATTTCATGCATGTGGAGGGTTTGGGAGGGGGAATGAAGGGAAGGCTTGGCAGAGGTGCTGGTTGAGGTGAGCAGGGGCCACTCTAGCTGGAGGAGAAGGTGACTGAGCAGGGTTTGCCCAAGGAGGCCAAGGCCATGAGGTCTTCAGGAGGGTCCAGAGCGGGGAGGGAGACGGGGCACTTTGGATCTAGAGGTGGGGACTTAAATGCCCAGCTAAGGAACCAGGACTGAAGTGAGTGGGCTGTGGAAAGTCCTGCAGGTGTCTGAGCAAAGACTGTGGCTTAGGAAGGAAGCTATGAAGTACCATAAGGGACAGATTTGGGTGACAGTTGAGGCAGGGTGGGGACTAGAGGTAGGGTGATGGGTGGAGGAGTGTTGTCATTAAATGAGCCAGTTCTAGGACTAAGGTTCCCAAGTTTGGAGCAGAAGGTGCCCCAGGAGTGCTTTCTGAACCCAGATTCCCAGCCCAACACTGGAGTCAGATGGGGAGGTCTTGCTGGACCCCAGGAATCTGCCATTCGGTAGGCTCCCCAAGGGATTCTGCCCTGGGAACTACACTTTGAGAGAGAAAATTGCTCTAGAACAATTGGTGGGGGGAGGCAGGTGGAGAGCAGAGGAGACCTACAGATGTGCACCTAGAGCTGATAGCCACGGTGTCTGTTTGGCCCTGCAGGTGTCCAGGATGGTTTGGGGAATGTGGGACTGATAAGCACTTCAGGGACATCAAAAGGAAATACTGGCCAGGTGCATGCCTGTGATCCCAGTGACTGAGGAGGCTGAGGCAGGAGGATCGCAAGTTTGAGGGCAGTCTCAGCAACTTGGAGAGACCCTGCCTCGAAACAAACAAACAAAAAAAGGCTGGGCTCAGTGGTAGAGCACCCTGGGTTCAATCCTAGTACTTAAAGGGGGAAAAAAATAGAGACATATAGGTGGGCTGGTGGGAGGCCAAAGGTCAGAATCCAGGAAGCTGGAGTGCTTAGAAGGTCCCCCCAAGGGAGAAACTACTTTTGTCCTGTGTGATCCGAGACCTGAGTGACCGAGAGCCAGGCAAGAGTCCCTTCATCAGCAGGAGCTCCTAATGTGTCCCTGGGGCACCCTCGCCCCTCCATCTTCTCTTGTCCCTGAGGTGCCTGGGATGGGGTTTCTGGAAGGTGGCAGTGGTCACTCTACAGCCAACCCCACAGCCTTGGGAGAATCTGGTGGCATCAGGACTGAAGGTGGCAGAGCTGGTGGGAGCTCAAGTGCTCAGGGGAGGGACTCCTGGTCTTGCGGAGGCGCCAGGGAGATAGGAAGGAGGATGGTTCCCACAGTAACCATCTTCGTGGCCTTGGGGAGGGGGATGGGGAGGGGTCAGGCAGAGGTCAGGGACCGGGCAGCAGGCGTGTGGATGTCAAAGCCATGTTTTTCAGACTGGGACCTGGGCAAGCCAGAGGAAGCCTCCTCCTTATCTTTCGATGGTCTCAGTCCAAGAAAAGAGGAGTCTTCAAAGGAAGTGGCTCCTTAAGGAGCGTCAAGATTGAAATCTGTCACATGCAGAGCTGTGGACGGAGATAAGTCCAGTGCGGGTGAGGGGAGCCCCCTCCCCTCCGCGGCCTTCCTGGCTCCCAGAGCCTCTTAGCACCCCAGAGCCCGAGGCGCCGGGCCTCCGGGGAGGTGCACAGCCTCGCCTGGATTGGGAAGCTCCGAGTCCAGAGCTGCGTGGAGGCCGGAGGCAGCTCTGTCCTTCCTGGAGCCTCAGTTTCCCTGTGGGGTTGGACCACAGGACCCGGGATCCCCTTCAGCTTTGACCTTCTCAAAGCCGGGGAGGGAGCCTGCAGGCTCTTCCTTTTCCAGAGGGGCCATGGGAACGCTTTGGCCACTGAATGTCCTGCCCGTGCTTACCTCATTCCCCTTCTCGGGCCTCTGCACCTTGGGCACAGAGAGACGAGGCCTAGAGTCCTGAGTGGAGATGATAAAACCCACGGTCCTGGGTTTTTGAGCACACACAGACCTGTGTGCCTCTGAGAGGCCAAAGTTCAGAGCACCTGAACGTGTTGTGTCCTCACCAGACCTTGCGTGGACTCCACCGATTGACCAATTCATTTATTTCTCAATGCATATTGATTGAATCAGAAATGGCCGCTGAAATGGGGGTGGGTGGGGCATGTTTGTTTTCATCCCCTTAAGTTGCTCAGGTACCATCTGGCAGGGGTCCAGGACAAGGAAACACAATTCAAGGTGGAAGGGACCCATCCCTGGGGAGCGTCAGAGCAGTACTTTTCCTCTGGAAGACCTTTCTGTGCCCTTGGCATTGAAGGAGTGAGCCCAGCAGCACTTTGCCTTCTTGCTGGGCCAGAGAGTTGCTTCTGTACAACATGAGGTTAGGCCTGATGGTCCCAGTGCCTTCCTGCTGTGACTTGGTCAGCTGCTGGAGTGGGAGGGGGACACACCAGGACATGCCTCTGCCCTTTAAGAGGATGCCTTTGCTCCAGCAGTTGCAGGGCATGGTTACTCCTTCACTGGAGAAGCTGCAGCTTCTCCCTGGGGATTTTTCCCAGGTCTGCTCCGCATCTCCCACTCCTCTGTGGGCCTCCTCCTCCCGTAGTCTGGAATCATTCCATCTAGACCCTGGCTCTCACTGCCCCTCTTCTCTACCTTCTTTTCTTTTTCACGAAGTAGCAGGGATGCCATTTGGTCAGCGACTTTTATCTCGGCCAGTCGCTTTCCTGCCCAGATTTCAATCCACTTCTTACTGTAAGCACAGAAATTAGGAGGACAGGAAGGCCTAGGGCCAGCTGACAGATGGCAAAAGTGAGGGTCTCAGAGGCTGGCCATTGTCCGAGGCCTCTGCAGTCAGGGGAGAGATGAGCCTGGATCCCGGGAGCCTGGAGGCCGGTGCCTGCCCATCTGGACTGGCCCTCCCTCCACCGTTACCTTTCTGCCACTGTCCAGCCTCTCTGCAGATGTCCCTAAGTTGGAGGTGTTGGAATGGGAGCTGGCCTGGCTGAAGGAGCACTTGTCCCAGCTGGATTCCCCGGTGGTGTTCTGTCACAATGACCTGCTCTGCAAGAACATCATCTATGATAGTGCCAAAGGTACAGCTCCCCTGGCCTGGCCGGGGGTGGGGGAGGTGGGTTGGGCATCTGGCTCCAGGGTCCTGCTCCTCGGGCTGGCCCTTGGACAAGCCAAAACAGGTCTGGGTTTCAATCTGCAGTTAATTTATTTATTTTTTTCATAAATTTATTTTTTTGTAGTTGTAGATACAACAGAATGACTTTGTATTTTTATTTATTTTTTTATTTTTTATGTGGTGCTGAGGATCGAACCCACTGCCTCATGCATGCTAGGCAAGCACTCTGCCACTGAGCTGCAGCTCCAGCCCCCAATTTTTTTTTTTTTTAATGTGGTGCTAAGTTTCGAACCCCAGGCCTCACGCGTGCTAGGCGAGCGCTCTACCACTGAGCCACAACCCCAGCCCCTGCAGTTAATTTATAGAAAAGGAGACAAGAAATTCTCCTTGAGAAAAAGCTATCCCAGGAAGGAATTCCAAATCATGGTCTGGGGAGGTCCTCCACGTTAGCCATTCCTCTTGACAGGACTTCTGAGGGCATCATGGCTGCCCAAGCCTCCAGAGGGAGGGAGCCTCCTGGTTTCTCTGACGAGGGCATTGCCCCCAGAAAGTACACTTGTCCCTTGGCGTGCATGGGGAACTGACTCCAGGACCCCTCAAGGATGCTTAAATCCCTTATATAAAAGGGTGCTGGCCTGGTGGTGGAGCTGTATGGTAGAGCCCTTGCCTAGCATGCAGCTGGCTCCGGGTTCCCTCCCCAACACTGCAAAAATAAAAATAAAATGGTATAGTATTTTTATATAACCTACTCACATTCTCCTGTATACTTTTTATTTATTGGTACTGGGGATTGAACTTAGGGGCACTTAGCCACGGAGCCACATCCCCAGCCCTTTTTATATTTTATTTAGAGACAGGGTCTCACTGAGTTGCTCAGTGCCTCGCTGAGTTGCTGAGGCTGGCTTTGGACTCACAATCCTCCTGCCTCAGCCTCCTGAGCTGCTGGGGTTACAGGCATGCACCACCGTGCCCGGCTCCTGTATACTGTACACCATCTCTGGGTTACCCATGGTACTTAATACAGTGTAAATTGTTCCTATACCATGTTATTTAGGAAATGACAAGGAAATGTCTGCACGTGTTTGCTACGGAAGTTGGTTGGTGTACAGAGGTGGCGCCTGTGGATGCGGAGGGCTGCCTGTGCACAGCTCTAGCTCAGACCCCTAGTCATGCTGAGAACAGATGTTTTCTGCTGGGGAGAGCTGGAGGTGGGAGCTGGGGTGGCACAGATGGACAGGCGGACAGATAGAAGCTGCGAAAGCCGGCAAGAGCCAGGGGGCGCATTCCGGAGACTGGGCCCTGTTGCCAGGTCTGGGCCAACCTTCATGGCCTCCCCTCTGCCTCCCAGGTCACGTGCGGTTCATCGACTACGAGTACACGGGCTACAACTACCAGGCCTTTGACATTGGCAACCACTTCAACGAGTTTGCAGGTGAGGGGCATTTCTGCTGGGACTGTACCCAAGTCCCCATCCTTGTGATGGGATTAGGTCCACAGGCAGGGCCCAAGGTGGTTCCATGGAGGGTGGCAACTAGATAGTCCCTGTCCTGTGACTGTCACAGCTCCAGGTGGGAGGCACAGCCTGGCTGTAGCGAGCTTCAGGTCTCACAGGAGAGACAGGACCACCCCACACACAGCCCACCTTTATTAGTTAGCCTTTGTGGAAGTTTGGTATAAATCAGAAAAATAATTCCTCTGTGGGGACCCAGGGGATACTTGGCCTGCATGTGAATTAGAAAAAGTCCCCCCCTCTGGGCAGACACAGCCCATGCCAGCACGGCCAGCACCACACAGGATGGCTTATCTCTACTTGCCCCTGTCCCGGGTCCCTTGTTCTGCACGGTTATACATGAGGGCCCTGCATGCAGACAAGGCAGGGCCGAGCTGTTGGCCTGGTGACCTGGAGAGCATAACTAGATGGGGCTACTTAGAAGTTACATACACAGCTTTGCCGCTGTACGACCTTCCGGCAGATTACTGACCCTCTTTGTGCATCTGTAAAATGGAGATGGTAATAATATCTGCTTCATAGTAGTGACCTGAGTCACATACACCCCTCAGCACAGACTAAGCAAATGGTTGGTGTTGGCTGCTGCTATCAGGTAGGGCGGCCTTCCTGCAGCTGCCAGGGAGACCAGAACGGGAATAGAAGCGTCTAAATGAGGTAGGACAGGTTCCGAGGGTAGGCGACTGTTCCCTAGAGGCATTATTTGCACAGCAGGACCACCGTTCATGTAAAGGAAGCAGGGTGGGTTTTTCCAGCTCGAGGGCTTGCGACAATCAAGACTGAGGAGGTCCATAGATGGAGCCGGCCCTGGGGCTGGAGGGATGTCCCCTGGCTGGCAGTGTGGGGTGCTCAGTGTGACGTGGCCAGGCCCTGGAGCTCAGGATAGGTGAGGTATGCCCGGGCCACCTGTAGAGCCACCTCCCTGGGCAGAGCAGCTGAGCTTCTAGGTGTGGCCTGGAGCAGAGGTGGCCCTGACAGAACGGATGATGCCTAAGCATTTTAAGTCCCCCTTACCCACAGCCCAGAGCAGAGTCCAGAGAAGGAGAGGGAGGAAGAGTCCTAGGGGAAGGTGTCCCAGGCCTGCTCCTGTCCTAAACCACCTCTGTTCATCCTGGCTCTGATGCCAAGGTCTCTGCCACCAGGCCTGGCACGACTGGGCTGGCAGCTTGAGGACTTCTAGAAAGGTGGTGCTGGTCCACGGGTGCCCAGCCTGGCCACCTGTCAGAATCATCCGGAGAACTGGACGGTGTGTGGGGTGCTTTCTGAGGGGTGTTTTTAAGGAGCCTCTTGACACCAGTGGGTGCAAATAGGTCTAAGCAGTGTTTGAAATTCACCACCAAGTGCAGCTCCCTCACCTGAGAATGAAAATCGGGGGGCCGGGGAGAAGAAGGGCTTGTCTGGCGTTAGCGGGGCCTGGCGGAGACCTGAGGCTCCTGGGGTTCATCTGCGCTTTGGCCCAGGGCTTCTGGAGCCCTGGTTTTGCACAGTGCTCACGTGGTGCCACCCTGGGGGGTTGCCGTCACTCTGAGGACAATGCTCCTCTTTACTTTCTCAGCCCAGAGAAGCAGTGTCCCCAGCTGGGATGGCGAAGACCCCACCCCACCCCAGGCCCCATCAGCAGAGCTTGGAGGTCAGAGAAGGCACCTCCTGGGGCCCCCTTGGGCCCAGCCTGCAGGTCGGGGGAGATGGCAGTGTTAGAGGAGGAAGGACACCTGTCCAGGTGGCTCTCCCAGCACCTTCTGTGTGGCCTGCTTTCCCATCAGGTGTGAATGAGGTCGACTACAGCAGGTACCCGTCGCGGGAGACCCAGCTGCAGTGGCTGCTCTACTACCTGCAGGCACAGAAGGGGACAGCTGTGACCCCCAGGGAGGTGGAGCGGCTCTATGTGCAAGTCAACAAATTTGCCCTGGTGAGTGCTTGTAGCTGGGAGGGGGCAGGGGAAGGAGAGCCCCAGCCCTCCACTCAGAGTCCAGGACCCACAGGGAGCTCTGACCCCCACCCTAGAGGTGGTCTAGGAAGAGCCATCTTAGGTGTCCCCTTCATACCAAGGTGGCCTCTTCCCTGCTCCGTCAGCTCCATCCCATTGAGGTTCCCTCCTTTCTAGAGAAATACTTCCAAATCTCATCTTCCTATTTTAGCAATTCTGTCGTTTGGATGAAAATTCCTTCCATTGTCTAACCTCTACCTTTCATGCTACAGTAAAACCCATCCTTTTCACTGTCTTCAGCCTTTGAAGGAGATGGAGACTGTCAGGCTCTAATCCTCCTTGTAACCCCCTCCGCGGGCTCAGCTTCATGGCAGCCTTTCCATCAGGCTCTCCCTCTCCCACCACCGTGTAGTCGGGTCAGGACACGGTCCGTGCCAGGTCTGCACTGGTGTGTCCCCGGGGAATTACTAATAAATGTCAGCCACACACAAGCAAGAAGACGAGTCGGCGGCCCGCAGCCCACGATTCATGCTAGAGCGTCATGGAATCTGTCCTTCTCTGGGATTTCGGACCATCCCTTCTCTTCTCTTTTTTGGGCACAAAACTGACTCTGCTGGGGGCTGTCCCTCTTGGGTCACCTTCGGGGCTGACCCTCCTTCCGCTAAGATGGTTTGTGCCCCTTTGAAGTCAGGAAAAGGAGGGTGAAGGGAGGTTCTCTGGGGTCAACCCAAGCGAGCTGGACTTTGGGATGGGGTGGAAGAGCTGTGAGGGTGGAGGACCCCTGTCTGGGCAAGTGGTGGTGTCACTGTTGGGGCCCTGGCTCTCTGGCTTCATGAGTCTGGGGTGACCCTGGTCTCTTTTCCTACAGGGAGAGGTTAATGCTTAGTGAATTACCAACCTGGAGGCTTTGTATTCCCAGCTCTGGGCTCCCCCCACCCTGCCTTGCCAGCACCCCAGTAGAAGTGGGGGCAGAGAAGGGGCTGGGGTTGGGGCTCAGTGGTAGAGCACTTGCCTGGCATGTGGGAAGTCCTGGGTTCCATCCTCAGCACAGCATATAAATAAATAAATAAATAAAAATTTAAAAGATCTTTCTACAACTAAAAAATATTTAAACAAACTGATGTGATTCTGCAATCTGTATATGGGGTAAAAATGGGAGCTCATAACCCACTTGAATCAAATTGTGAAATATGATATATCAAGAACTATGTAATGTTTTGAACAGCCAACAATAAAAAATTTAAAAAAAAATATTTAAACAAAAAGAAGAGTGGGCAGAGGGAGAGGTCAGTGTAGAGGGTCTTCCAGCAGCGCAGACCCTGGTGCCCGCCCAGCCAGGACACTGCTGCCACCACTCTTGTGTTCCCTCTAGCCCCAGTTGGCCTGCATTCTGGCTCAGGGATTCACCTCAACCTGGATACCTTGGCCTTGATGCCCAGAGAGTCCTGGGAGTTGAGAAGAGAGGCTGTGGGTAAAGGTGTGTCCTTCACAGACAACCACTGAAATTCCTAGAAGCACCGTCCTGCTGGTGTGGCCCTGGGCAGGGACAGGGGACGTCAGGACCTGGGTGCACTAGTTCTGCTTGTCTTTGGTTTTGTTTTTGCAGTGCTGGGGGTGGAACCCAGGACCTTGTGCATGCCAGGGAAGTGCCCTGCTACTGAGCCCCACACCTCTAGCCCCTGTCTGTCTTTCTCTAGTAGGACAGTGAAGTCCCCCCAGGTGCTGCCGAGTGACTTGGCCACAGCAGTCTCCTCAGCCTGTGCTGGGGAGATCCACAAAGTTTCTGCCAGAGTGCTAGCTCTTTGTCTTCCAGAGTGACCATGTCCTCCCTGCCCTGTGAGGCCCCTAACAAGCCTGGGCATGGCCAGGCTGATTGTCTCTGATCTGTTTCCAGGCATCTCACTTCTTGTGGGCTCTCTGGGCCCTCATCCAGAACCAGTACTCCACCATCAACTTTGATTTCCTCAGGTGAGTGCAGGGGTAAGTGGCAGGAAGGTGGTGGGCACAGGGGTGGAGGAGAAGAGCCCTGAGGAATGGCTACCCCAGACTGAAGGTGTCCAAAGCCATTAGAGATGGGGTAGAAGAGCTGTGAGGGTGGAGGACCCCTGTCTGGACAAGTGATGGTGTCATTGGTAGAGAAATGCAGGTCGAAAGCACAAAGAGTTGTTGCCTCCCACCAGTCAGAGTATCTGCTCCAAACACCAACAAGACCACAGAATTGGTATTGGCAGGAATGTGGAGAAATTGGAAACTCGTGCACCGTTGTTGGGGACATGAAATGGTGCAGCCACTTTGGAAAACAGCACAAAAGTCCCACAACACTCAAAAATGAAGTGCAGGGACTGAGGCTGTGGCTCAGAGGTAACACGCTTGCCTAGCATGCGTGAGGCCCTGGGTTCGATTCTCAGCACCACATACAAATAAATAAAATGAAGGTCCATCAACGACTAAAAAAAAAAAAAAAAAATGAATTGCCTGTGACCCAGGGATTCCGGGATAGAACCACGGGAACCGAAAGCAGGAGCTGGGTGCACTGACGCACATCTGTCATCTCACAGAATCTGGAAGCCGAGGCAGGATGATTGCAAAAGTTCTAGGCCAGTCTTGGCCCCTTAGCCAGATGCCATCTCAAAATTTAAAAAAGGGCTGGGGATGTAGCTCAGTGGCAAAGTGCCTCTGGGGTCAATCCCTGCTTCAAAAACAAAACAAAACCTCAGGCTCTCAAAGAAATAATGTTCATAGCAACATTATTCACAGCAGCCAAGAGATGGAAGCAACCCAAGTGTCCATCAACAGATGAATGGATAACATACAACAGAATATTGTTCAGTCTTAAAAAGGAAGGGAATATTGTCACATGCTGCAACATGGAGGAGCCTAGAGGACATTATCCTCAGTGAAATCAGCCAGTCACAAAGACAATATATGATGATTCCATTTGTAGACACAGGTAATTGGTGGTTATCAGGGGTTGGTGGAGCAGAAAATGGAGAGCGGTGTTTCATGGGTGCAGATTTCAGTTTTGCGAGACAGAGAAGTTCTGGAGATGCATCGAATGACCACATACATACCCTTGGCACTCAGAACTAGGAAAACAAAACTCCAATCTAACGTGTTTGTATAAAAGTTGCTCCAGGCTTATCTAGAAAAAAAAATTGAAAAAACCAATCTTGTGGTGGGCTGGGGTTGTGGCTCAGCGGTAGAGCGCTCACCTAGCATGTGTGAGGTCCTGGGTTCAATCCTCAGCACTGCATAAAAATAAATAAATAAAGATATTGTGTCCAACTACAACTAAAAAATAAATATTTTTTTAAAAAATCAATCCTGTGGGCTGGGGCTGTAGTTCAGTGGTAGAGCGCTTTTCTCGCATGTGTGAGGCACAGGGTTTGATACTCAGCACCACAAAAATAAATAAAGATATTGTGTCCATCTCCAACCAAAATATATATATAAAATTCTGCCCCAGCCTAGAGGCCTGGAGGTGGTGAGAAAGAGAGCCCCTGGCAGGGATGCCCCGGGGGCTCACACCTGACTCCTTTCCCTATCTGTTGACAGGTACGCAGTGATCCGATTCAACCAGTACTTCAAGGTGAAGCCTCAAGTGTCAGCCTTGGAGATGCCAAAGTGACAGTCTCCCTATTCCTCCCCTGCCCATCTGCCTGGCCAGACCTGTTCTCCAGGGCTTGGTTCTGCTCTGGGGTCTGCACCCTTGGACAAGGTGGGAGAGGGGCCAGGTGGGTGTCCAGGAAGAAGGCCACCAGTGGATGCCACTGAAGACCCCATTCTCCTGTTTTGAGGGGCTGATAGGACCCAACTGTGGGGGTCCCCTTCACCTCGCCAGGCTGGGGAGGAAGTGCCTGCACACAGCCAGGACCTGGACCGGAACCACCCTGGGAAGCACACCGTTCCCAGCCCTAGGCCTGCTGGTATTGGGGCTGCCTTAGATGTTCTTTGACCCTTCCTGGCGGGGGGAAGGGAGGGCTCCTTTCTACCTCCAGCGCCCTGGCCAGTCCCCCTGCATGCCCCGCATGGGAGGTGCTGAGCCCCAAACCGGCAGCATGCCAATCTGGCAGAAGGATGTACCTGTCTTGGGGGTGGAGGGGTGGTCCGCCAGCAGCTGCCTCCTGAAAACCCCCTCCCTTTCTCCACACTGATTCCCTCCATCACCCTCCTGAGCCTCAGCTCTCTGTCCCTCTGCAGCCTGCTAGGAGAGGAGAGGAAGCCGGTCACCAGCCCTGGGTCTCAAAGCCTGGCTCTGCTTTGTGCTGTGGCCTGGCCCAAGGGGACCAGGCCAAGGGTGGGGTGGCAGGAATCAGAAGCAGCCTCCTGCCTTGCTCCCTCCCGTACCCTCCAGGCCTCCCTTCCAAGGATCTGTCTCTCCACCTCTACCTTCTGTCCTAAAGTCGGCTCCAGGTCTTCCCACCTGGGAGTGACAGGTGGGAATCAAGGAGCGGAGGGCCAGGGACCTCCCGGCTGGGCATTTCTGAGCCTGCCCAGACCAGACCTTGAAAGGTGCTGACTGAGCTGGGTGTCCTTGACACTCAACAGCTCCCACCTCCCTCTGTCCTCACAGCTCTGGGGACCCTCCAGGCTCTGGGCTCATATAGTGACTCATTTGTAAATTATCGTGGTTTTTCTGCATTAAAATGCTCATTTCTGGACTGGTCCGTGTCTGAGGGACAATGGCGAGGGCTTGACTTGGGGATGTGATTAGGACTTCAGAGGTGGGGGGCTGAGGTGCGCTCCTTGGGCTTTGTTCCATGCTCAAGTCAAAGTGGCAGGAGCCCACACACCTCTTACTTCCAGGCTCCTGGCTTCCAAGGGTCCCAGGTCCCTGTAGATGGTGCAGGACTGGTGTAAAGGGCTTGTCTGCCTGTCTTCTTGCTGGAACCAGGCGACCTGGTACAGTGCCGCTTACAGGGAGCTGGGCTGTGGATCACGAGAATTTTGGCCAGCCAAGGTGAAGAGCCAGGACTCCCTCCTTGGTCCTCGCTGGCTTCCAGCTTTCAGAGTGGCAAGGGGGGCTATTCCGGCTGACAGCAGGCAAGAGAGATTTGGGGACCCAGTCTGTCTGTCTCTCGGAAGGCCAGGAGGGGAGAGTAGAAACAGAGACGAGAAGAGTCCCGGAGTCCTTAAGGGCAGCAGTGACCACAGCAACAGCCGCCTGCCAGGTGGACTCTGGTTGTTTGGCTTTTGCCTGCAAATGTAGCAGGGTGCCATGGCAACCACTGGAGCAGGCAGGCCACGGAGGCCTTCAAGGTCACAGTGATTCCGGGTAACCAGGCCCTCCACGGAGGGTGCTAATGGAGGACATGGGGAAAATGCGCACCTAGACACGGGTGGTCAGAGCTGGCCAGTAGGAAGTCCTGAGTGTCATCTGCAGGGGCAGGTGGTCGTGGACACGACCCGCCAGTGTGTTAGATGGCAGTGCCCCTGCCTCCTTGTCCTCTCCGAGGCACCTCTAAAGCTGAGGGCAGAATTGACCACTGAAGTCCATTTTTTTTCTAGCCTCCTGGGGCCTTGATGTCACAGCATGTTGACTGGTATTGCAGTGATGAGCAGGGAGTGACTGGGAGAAGGTCCCCAGGTATACTCTTTGTCCTGCAGGCTCTGGCCACTGTGTGCACGGACACCCTCCCGCTGCCTGTGCTGATAAAACGTTCCTGTCCCTCCAGTGTTCCAGGAGGGACGCGGGTGGGCTGGGGGCGCTATGCAGGCACAGCCCTGCTCCTTGACAGAGCCGAGCCCCTCCTCCTCTCCTGTCACCGCCACTCCAGGCTAAATGGCATCTGCCCTCCTGGATCAGCACCAAGTTCTGGGCTCCACCCCGGGTCCCTTCCTAGACCCTCTGCCAGAGCTCCAGGGAAAGGACTTAGGAACCTGGCCTCCAAGAGAGGCAGGGAGGGAACAGAAAGCACGCTCGTGGCCCACACTTCCTGGTAAGGACCAGGACACACTGTTCCCAGCCTCTGCAACCCACCTGACCCCGTCCTCTCATGGGACGGGGGTGGGGCTCCAGTCAGCCTAAGAGTACACACAGGGCCTGGCCTGTGACGGTCTGTCTCAGCAGCTGGAGTGAGGACAGAGGTACCCAGAGTACCTTTGGCAGGGATTCCTGTGAACCTCACAAGGCCACAGAGGACCCAGTAGGGAAGCAAATGGAACTTGGGACTGTGAGGGACAGTCCCCAGGAGACTTCTGGGGTCTGGTTTGGAAGAGAGGGAGGGTGGAGACGGCCACTGGAAATGGAGTTGAGCTCTCCCTGGTGACCACTAGGGGGCCCCCTCTTCCCACTTGTCCCCTGCTGTTTCTACCAGGAGCTTGGAGGCTGGGCTTGCCCCAGGGTAAGGCTGGTGGGGAGGGGCAGAAGGGCAAAGCTCTGAGGGATGCCCCCAGACCCAATGACCAGGACCTTAGTTCTTGGGGAATCTTCATGCCCACACCTTCCCAGGTTTGTGGCCCTTGAACCCACCACACCTCCCCCACCCCACTCCCCAATTTGGAAACCCCTCTTCCAGTATTCAAGCCTCTCTGCTTCAATGCTTCCTGTGTTTGGAAGTCCATTCTACTTTTGAACATCTTTGTTGGAAAGTTATTTTGTAAAACTAAAATAGTGATCCTTGAATCTGGGCCCAACTCCAATCCTGTGAGCTACATAGAATATTACACTCTCGCACAGCCAGCAGCTTTAAAGAGGCCATCTTGTTCTTTCTGCCTTGTCCTTTTGACCACTCTCGAAGGGCATGTCCACCAAGATCCCTCCAGTCTTCCTCCATGCCAAGTGCCTGCTTCCAGGCCCCTCCAGATGACAGTGGCATTTTCTAGTGAGAGTCCAGGACTGTGTGGCCTCACCTCTTGTTAATCCAGCCCAAGTCTCTCTCTCACAAGAATGGCCATTGAGCTTTGCTGCTTCCATTCCTTATTGATAGGATTGAATTTTTCAAACTTGGGGCCTCAGACACACTAGGCAAACATCATCTCCAAGTTCCAGCCCTAATTTTTTTTTTTTTTGTACTGAGGATTGAACTCAGGGGCACTCAACCAATGAGCCACATCCCCAGCCCTCTTTTGCATTTTATTTAGAGACAGGGTCTCACTGAATTGCTTAGTGCCTCCCTGTTGCTTAGGCTGGCTTTGAACTCGTGATCCTCCTGCTTCAGGCCTCCCAAGCCACTGGGATTACAGGTCTGCTCCACCGCCAGCCCTAACCTTTTAACTGCAAGAGTTATCTTTTCAATAGATCCTCATCAATAAGCATTTTGAAGAGTTTCAGTCATGGCCCTTTCAGGCCTCTGTATTTCTCCTTTAAAGCATAAAGTCATAGATAAGAGTCCTGAAGCATGTTATTAGAGACCCTGCTTCTTTCATCAGTATGGAGAGGGCTCATTGATGGGCTTCCAGGTGTCTATGAGTGAGCCCTTTCTAGACAAGAATCCACAGCTTGCTTTAGATTCTCAAAGAGCCCGTTCTCCAAGAGTGAGTAAGAACCAAGAAGTTTAATCCTACTGTTTTCAGATGAGGTTGATGAGGCCTAAGTGACTCCCCCACCACTCCTCCTGCGGCTAGTTCTGGGGAGACCCCTGTCTCATGACTGTGATTACAGAGTTCCTACCAAGTGCCTTCCTCCTGGGGACCTGGGCAGGCACCCTCCTGGAGCAGGGGCCCTGCTTCCTCATTTACAGTATCTCCCAGCCCTGGGCCTGGAGTGCCCTTAAGTGACCACCAGGGGGCAACAGCATCCGGGGCTGGCTGCACATTTAGGAATTCTGGACTTAGGCCAGCCTCCCTCTACCCGGATGCAAGGACCAGATTCTGAAATGGTCTGTCTTTATTATGCCATCAGAAAACAAATGTGCTGGTTAAGTTACTCATCGTTATCTTATTAACAAAATAAAGCACTATCTATGTTTACAGTCATAAAAAAGAAACAGCCTGGAGAGACGTGGGGGTGATGGGGAGGCAGGCACCAGACTCCACCTCTGGCCCTGTGGGATTAGAGTCACCACCCTGATCCTAGGGCTGTTCCAGCTCTTTGGAGTTAGGTGCCAATGGGATTTGATTTTCTCAGGGAAATAACTTGTGAAGCTGAACAGGGGCTGAGACCTGTTCCCTAGAACCGAGGATCAGGGAGAGGATCAGACGGGGAGTGGCAGGCCTGGATGCCACCCACCCACCACCCACCCAGTGCTCATGAGGGAGGATGGGGACCATCTGCTCTGGGGCCCCCCTCCAGGGCCTCTGCCACTGACCATCAGTCCTCCTGGCCCCACTCCTGGAACACAGGCTGGGCCCCGGGGCTGGGGCATCAGGACAAAGCCTTTGGAGGAGGAGGCACATTCTCATGCTGCTGGGAGCTAAAAATGGCTCCGTGGGAGGCAGAGTCGGAGGGAGAGAAGACGCAGGCAGGAAGTCAGGGAGGCCACTGGCCCAGGGCAATCCAGGGGCCTACAGAGACCCAGAGAATTCAGGGGGGCCTGGGGGTGGGGTGGGGCTCAGGGATGGAGAAAGGGAGAGAAAGAGGGCTTTGTAGCAAGACAAGGACAGAGAAATGCACACAGGACACACGGAACCTGAGACACCCAGACAAAGAGGTAGCAATTTGGGGACGAAGAGAAGCACAGAGGAGGCCCCCAGAGAAGCAAGAGTGGCATGGAAGAGACATCTGCAGGAACTCAGCAGCAGTGCCTGGCACCTAGCGGGCACTCAATAAATATCTTGTGCAATGACTGAACAGCGAAAATGCACGGGTCTGCGCACGCGCTCACACACAGCAGCCAGAGGCACAATGGGCTTAGCAGAGATAAAGACGCGAGGGACAGTCAGACCTGTTTGCACAAAGTACAAAGTGATCCTGGTGACAGAGGAGTGATCTAGGGGAGTGTGGGAGGGGGTGTTGGTCCCATGGTGGCTGGTCCAGCCAGGACAAGAATGGGAACAAAGCATGTGACACAGGGAGACAGGTGTATAGCTGCCAAACCCCCAGGTGGGTAGACCTGCAAGAGAAAAGGGTCATCCAGTGTCCCTGGCCATCAGCCCCAAGAGCCAAGGAGCTCAGCCAGCTCGGTTCATCACCGCCATGCAAGCCCCACCCCTGAGGCTGACAGCTCCTCAGGTGTGCCGAAGGTGTGGTGGGAAGAGGAATGTATCTACAAGTGCACGGCTTTGCCCATCTCCAGACATACCCAAGTCCAAGTACCAACAGAGTTCAGGCCGGCGGGCTGTGCCCATTGGGTTGGGGCCAAGGTCTTCCCCAGTGAGGAAGGGGCCAGGCCCAGCCAGCTGGGATCAGTCCGTGAGCACCACCAACTCCCCGTCACTCTTCTCTTCACCCTCCGAGTCCTCATCCTCGCTGTACCGGTACATCTCGCCATCAGCCACCGAGTGCCTGTCATCTGTGCTCTCGCCCTCCTCCCTGAGGCTGCAGGTATTGACGATGACAGGCATGTTGGGGTCCAGGCTGTGGGGGACACAGTGCTCCACCAGGGGCTGTGCCAGGGGCATGCCCGCTGCCCGAGGGTATAGGACGTCTGAGGAGCTCATCTGCACCTGGCCAGCCTGTGGGCTGAGATGGAGGAGAGGCGTGGTTACAGGTGCACCCTCCTTTCCACTCCAAACCCAGCTCCCCAACACCTGGTATTAAGTCAAGGGTGCAGCTCAGGGGTAGGACTTGCACACTCCCACTCCACCCCCTCTTGGCTATGTGACTCATGTACCCTGGCCCCTGGTCTGCTTTCCAATGGCCACATTCACTGTCAGCCAAGACCTGCACAGATTCAGAGCCACGGGGTGCTCAACAGGTACATTTCTTGGGGAACTCTCTGTGGATCCAGTTTTGGGAAACTATATTCTAAATGCCCGAGGGGGATTTAAATCCATCCAGGTGGTCTTGGCCCAGTCAGGAATCTTTCTGTGGGATGAACTTTTAACGCCTCCACAGAACTACAGGCACCTCCCTCCAGGGGCGTGTGGCCAGTCCTCCACAGTCACGCACAGCCACACACCTGTAGCGTCAGCCATGAAGTGCCCACCACATTGCACATGGTCACTCTCCATCTCCCCTAAAGTCACGCACATAGACCCAACCACACACGGATGACACCAGGCACACACTGGACAGACACGCAGCGCCCCCACCACTCACAAAAGCCAGCCACACATCCACATCCTGCCTCTCACAGTCACGCACACACCGTCACTGGCTGCCCGGGGTGGGCCTGCTCACGGGATCACGTAGCTCTGACGGGCATCCTGGCGCCGGGTCCTCATCAGGGCCTTGTACTCGCCCACGCGTAGCCGCTTGCCCTCCACGATGCAGGTGCGCTTGGGCCGAGGCTTGTACTTGTAGTCGGGGTACTTCTCCAGGTGCTGCCGGCTCAACCGCGCCTGCTCCTCATAATAGGGCTGCTTCTCCTGGTTGGTCATGGACTTCCAGCGGGAGCCTGGCCCAGACCCCAGGGGGAGGTGGTCAGAGCTGGGCCCTGCACTTAGCGAGAACCCAGCCCAACGTGGATGCTCTTTGGACGATGAACAAATGAATCAATGAAGATGATGTGTAGAGGGGTTTCCAACAGCCAGATTAAGACACAGCACCCACCCACACGCCACATAACCCAGCAACTTCCAGGAGGAAGTCGGTAATGCCTCATACGCATTAATAAGGGAGCAGCCACCCCGGGCTATCAACAATTCAGATGAGTGCCCAGCTCAGGAAAACACCTGGTATTAAGTCAAGGGAGCAGCTCAGGGGTAGCACTTGCCTAGCATGTGCAAGGGCCTGGCTTCAATCCTCAGCAACACACACACACACACACACACACACACCCTTGGCAGGGTGTGGTGGCACACATCTGTAACTTCAACTACTAGGGAGGCTGAGGCAGGAGGATAGCAAGTTTGAGGCCAGCCTGAGCAACTCAGCAAGACTTTGTCTCATAAAAATAAAAAGAGCTGTAGATGTAAGTCGGCCTTTGAATACCCTTGGGTTCATTCCCTAGTGTTCTTAAAAAGAAACCCAAAAAACCTGTTGTCTCAGACAAGATACCTACGTTGACATTAGTGGGGACTCAGTCTTAAAAGCAACTGTCTTCTTCCAACCCCATCTGCCCTGCCCTGCATCCCTCCTTGGCCTCCAAACAGAATGTGTAATTCAAAAAATCTTTATATGCATAGCCCAAGAATACTGATCTCTCCTGTCTTCTGCCACCGCCAGTTTCAGGGATGTGGGTAAATAGTAGAATAGGTTAGGGACAGACCTGGGGGGCCAAAGAATACATATACATATTGTATACAAAACATATACATACACACACTCTCTCACTCACACACAAACACACACGCTGCTTGAGTTCTTAGCGGGAAGCACTATCAGAAGAGCCCTACATGGTTCAAGACCCCAGGACCCAGCTGCCCCCATATCTAGACTCCCACACCTCCAATAATAGTCCACTGGGGTTCATCGTGGTGTGGAATGTCACCGAGCAAGCCTCGAGTAGACCCAGCTGACTCCAGCAACCAGGCCCTGCTGCGCTATGTTCCCTGGAGCCCCGCGCTGCCCACGAGGCCCACTCCCTGGCCCTTACCAAGGATCTTGCTGATGCTGGAGTTGTGCATATCCGGGAAGGCTTGGAGGATCTTTCTCCTCTCATCCTTGGCCCACACCATGAAGGCATTCATGGGTCTCTTGATGTGACTGCTATTCCGAGACTCAGGGAAGTGGCGCGAGCCTGGGGGACAGGGGGACAGTCAGCAGCAGGGCAACCCGTCTGGGGCTGGCAAAGTGACGTGCCCTGTGTGACCACCAGGGGGCGCTGAGGAGGCTCCCAGCATGGCAGGAGCAGAGAGGCACCTCAGGCCTGAGCCCAAGGACAGAGTCAGGAGGAAACCAGAGCTCCTGTGGTCACAAGACGCAGGGAAGCAGACCCAAAGATAGAGATACCAGGGGACAAAAGAGGCACACTCGCCTGGAAGGACCCAAGAAGGCACAGCAAGGGAGAGAAGGGATCAGAGACAGATACAAGCCGGGCGGGGGACACAGCCATGGGCCCCCCTGCCCCCCTGCCCAGTGCCAGAGCCCTCACCGTCCACGTCGCAGCTCAGCATGGCTTCTTCCAGCGGGTGCACACAGCTCTCCTCCAGTCGCTCCTTGGCTGGAGAGGAGTCCAGGCTGAGGAGGTCCTGAGGTGGACAGGAACAACTTGTACCTCAGTCCCCTTGGTGTCCCGCCTCTCCTCTCCCTGCCCGTCCTTTTGGTGGCCTCGGATTCTGCATCTTTTACCTGGGACCCTGTCCGCTCCAGCCCTCAGGGACAGGCGAGTGGGGCCCATACCTTGAGAAAGGGGGTGCTGGGGGAGCTTTCCAAGGCCCCACTGTGGCTGTGCAACAGCTGTCGAGCATCCTGGATGGCTTTGGTGACAGCGTCCCCTTCACCAAGGAAGCCTATAGGACGGAGAGGAGGAGAAGGAGGAGAAGCTGGGGAGTCGTCCAGTTTGAGGCCGGGCTCCTGGGAGCTACCCGGTGAGTGATTCCCCTGCCCTCCGTGGGGCTGCTCCAGGCACAGCCACCTACACTGGCTACCGGGGCAGTGTCAACAGATCGGACACAAGACTAGGACGCTCGGATCGTGTGGCTCAGCAGCCTGAGTCCAGGGCTGGAGTGCCCAGACAGACGGGATGGGGAGGTGGACAGGAGGAAAGGGGTTTTCTAAACTCCTTGTTTTAAAAAATTGGAATCAGAGCGGAAAGAGACATGGCCAAGGTCACATCCGGCCCTCTGGCTCTCCCCTGAGAGAGTGGATGGCAGAGCTCACCCAGAGGCAGACTCGGGGGGCTGGACTGCAGGTCCCTTGTAGGGGCCCCATGGCTGGGGGGACGGGGCCCGCAGTTGCCCATCTTCAGGCTGGGGGAGCTGGAGGCGCTGGGTAGCTCAGGAGCCTTGGGCTTCGCTGTGAGGTTCAAGGGCTGGGAGGGCTCCTGGGGGAGATCCAGATGGTCAGGTGAGAGACACCAAAGGAGACCCCTTGGGGACACCAAGGGACAGAGACACAGAGGGAAAGTGAGACGAGCATACCCAGGCAGACAAGGAGAAGGACCAAGAAGAGAGACAAGTGCAGGGTGAACAAGAGCAAAAACAGGCGGAGGGCGGTACCTGCAGGGGGTGGTGGGCGGCCATGGGCCCTGGCCTCTTCACCACCGGGGCAGGGGGGCTGTGCAGCAGCTGCAGCGGGTACTCCACTGTGGAAAAGGCGGCAGGGAGAAAAGTCCTGGATGAGCACAGAACAGCGGACACCTGCTTGACGAGGCCCCCGCACCACAGGCAGGCAAGGCTCGGAGCTGGCCCAGTTGGTCCCAACCACTGCCCCCAGCTCCAAAGCACTGCTGGGGACCACCTCTCCCCTCCTGCCCCACTGCCCTCGCACACTAACTGGCATTCATCCTGGGCCTGCCCTTCCCAACCCACTCCAAAGAGTTTCCACTGGCCAGGTGTGATGGCTCATGCCTGTCATCCCAGCAGCTCGGGAGGCTGAAGAAGGAGGATCAGGAGTTCAAAGCCAGCCTCAGCAACTTAGCGAGGTCCTAAGCAACTCAGTGAGGTCCTAAGTAACTCAGTGAGACCCTGTCTCTAAATAAAATACAAAATAGGGCTGGGGATGTGGCTCAGTGGTTAAGCACCCTTGGGTTCAATTCTCAGCACCAAGAGAAAAAGAAAAAGAAAGAAAGAAAAAGAAACTGAGGTCTTCTAAGACCTTCCATGACTTGCCCACAGAGCTATTAAACAGCAGCACCGGGATTTGAACCCAGGCCCTGTAGACTCTACAGCCCCACCTCCTCCCTCTCCTTAGTGCTCTTTTCTACCTACCCACCCTCCCTCACTCTCCATCAATTAGGCCCTGCCAGGCCCGTGTCAAGGAGGTGGAGAGATAAGCCCTGTGTACAAATCACTAACCACATGGCAGGTGGTGAGAGATAAGGCCCCCAGGTGGCATATCAGGGGACTTTGTTCCAGCTAGTGTGACTAGAGCAGGCTTCCCAGGGCAGTTGATGTGAGCTAGGACCTTCAGGATGGGCAGGGTTCAGGGAGGTAGATATGGGGTGGTGGGGACACGCGGGGAGTGAAACCAGACACAAGGTGAGATCAGGTCCAAAGCCTGTGAGTGTCAAGCTTGGGTATTTGAACTCTGTGCTGCAGACCACAGGGGCAGCTGTTCACACTCCTGAAGCAGCCACGGGCAGCAAGTCTGCCCTGCCCCCTATAGCTCACCTGGTCAGTGCCTTCCACGCCCTTACCACCCACAGCCAGTGCAAACACATTCACCACTCAAGTCTACCCCCGCTCCGGCAAAATAAACCTCAGACCCCAAGCCCCCCTTCACTGCCTTCCCTAGGCATGCCCCACCCCCATCAGGCACTCCCTTAGCTCCACCCCTGCACCCCGGGCCTCTGTCTGGCCGCCCTCCTCCTGGGCTCTCTCCCAGCAGCTCCCAACTTCACCCTTGCCCATCCACCCCTTACCCCAATACCTCTTCCTCAGCCAACCTCCCCAGGCCCCTGATGATAGATTGGTATCCTCTGTCTCTCCCCAGACTGAATTCCTTGAGCTCAAAGTTCATAGGTCATCACCACCAACAGCACAGTGCTGGATGCATGGTCACTGTACTGAATTTCAGTGCAGGAGTGACAGGGTAAAGACAGGGATCAGAGTGTGAAGGCAGAAATGGTGGCCATGGCCACTAGAACCCGGCAGATGCTGAACTGAACCTCAGTTAAGATTCAAGATATTGCTGGCACAGTGGTGCACCCCTGTAATCCCAGCAGCTTGGGAGGCTGAGGCAGGAGGATCACGAGTTCAAAGCCACCTCAGCAACAGGGAGACACTAAGCAACTCAGTGAGACCCTGTCTCTAAATAAAATACAAAATGGGGCTGGGGATGTGGCTCAGTGGTTAAGCACCCCTGAGTTCAATCCTCGCCCCCCCAAAAAGATATTAATATTCAGGCATAATAAATGTACCAGAGTGGGGAGGCAGACACAGAGAGCTGCCTCACCTTACATCTGGAAAGCCCTCGACCGTTTTCAATACACAATTTCCTTTTCATTCTCCCAACAATGTTCAGAAAGGAGGAATTACTCTTCCACTGCACAGATCCCAAACTGAGGCCCAGAAAGTCCACAGAATGAATTAATAGAAGACAGAGGTTCCAAGGCTCCTTCCCTGACTTTAGGACAAGCCGGTCACAGTGGCAGACCCTCCCTCCCACACTCACCTGGTTTGCAGGGGATGGGCTGAATGGGCAAAGCCAGCTGGGAGTCAGGGGTGACAGGTAGAGGCTGGTGGCTTGGAGGGAAAGCTGGGATCATGACGTAAGGCATGTTGACCTGCTGAAGGCAAAGAAACCTTGTGTGAGCCCCTGGGGCCCAAAGAGCTACTCAGCTGTGGTCAGCCTGGGACACAGAGGATGGACCCATGCATAAGAGAGGCATAAGGCATAGGACAGGGACAGTCTTCAAAAGAACCCATCTGACGCCATGTTCCTATCTCTCTGCTCTTGAGTTTCGGCTGGGGAGGACACCCCCCTCCTTCAAACAGGGAATGCAACCAGGGAGGAGGCTTGAGGGGGAAATAAGGGCCCTGGTCAGGGTTCAGGACCAGGCCGGATCCTGCTCCGTGCAACTCTTGCCTGGCCTACATCCCCTGTCCCCAGCCCCAGCCCCTCGCCCTTACCTGGATCTGCTGCTGGAGGAGGTTGATCTTATGCTGCTGTTGAATCAGCTGCTGCTGCTGCTTGGCGATCTGTGGGGGGGAAGAGCAGGCAAGAGGGCCATGGACACCAGCCCTGGGCACCCAACCCCGAGCCTGCCCTGCACTAGAGGCCAAGACAGAGCAGAGTAGCCCGGCCTTCCCGCAGAGCACAGAGACGGAGCAGGAGCACAGCCCCCGCAGCAGGCCTGCCCCCAGTGCCTCCCCGGCTGCCCCGGGCCTCAGCCACACCTGCTCCTGTTGCTGCCGGGCCAGCTCCATCTGCTGCTGCTGCTTCTCAAAGAGCATGGCTGCCATATTCTTTTGCTCCGAGTGGGCCGTCAGGAGCTGGTCCCGCAGGGTGGACAGCTGGTGGATCATGACCAGAAGCTGCAGCTCCTTCTCTGCCAGGCTCTCTTGGGTCCCTGTTCCTCAGTGAAACAACCACCGTGCAGAGTTTTTGTTAGTTCATCCATCTACCCATCCACCCGTCCACTCAGCCATCTGACATTTACTGAGCAATTACTACATCCCAGGATGCGATCAGTCGAGTTACTAACTTCTAGGCACGTTAGAGCGTTTTTAAATCTATAAATGGGCACAAGAACTGTGAGATTTGAATGAGCTCATGCATGGAAACCTCTCCGTCTAGGATTTGGTACGTGGTCCTCCCATTTAGCTTGCTTCCGGCCCTCCCATTTAGCTAATGTTGGGTATGGCAGTTTGTTCCAAAGTCCCAAGCTGCAGACCGCTTGCACCAGAATCACTCGGGGTACCACGGCAAAATTCAGATGCCCACGCCCCGGCCTGTTAGGGTTCTCTTTCAGTAGCCCGGGCATCTGCATTGGTTTTAAGCTCCCTCTGCAGGTGTGATCAACCACACTGGAAAAATGGTCACTCAAAGAAACCCCAACAGCTGCCCTTTAATAACACTCATTTCCTCGGGGAGGTTGGCAGTGAAAGGGACCTTTCTGCTCCTTGTGGAGGTAGACCTGGGAAAATGGAGTGACAGGGCCTGAAGTCACCAGCATCTCTGACAAGAGCCTGAACTCATACCCGCTCCAGCCAGACCCGTTGCTTGGGGGCTCCCAGGGGAGGGACGGTGATGACCCTGAAGAACGGGCAGGAGCCATGTGGCATGGGCCAGGTATGAGGGGACCCAGAAGCACAAGAACTGCCCAACACACCACGGCCAGCCCACAAGAGCAAAAAGGGCTCAACCCGCCCGCCCTGCCGCCCCCACAGGCCCTCACCTTTGACATCTTTGGTTTCCACCAAGCTCCTTCCCAGAAACCTCTCCTTCCAGTCACTGGACAGCAGTTTCTCGATGGCGGGCACCACTGGAAGACACCCGGGATGAGCAGCGTCTTCCCAGCGCCCTGACCCGAGCCCCCTCCCCCTGGGGCAGGCGTCTTACCCTCCTGTAAATTGCGGTTGAAGTCCAGCTTCTCCTGGCTTCCAGAAGCAGCCTCAGAGGCTCCGGGTCTCTTGGGCTCTGGGGACCCGTCACGCTCTGGAGAACTACAGTCCTGTAAGACACCCTGAATTGTCACTGCTGCCCCCAAGAGAAGAGGGGACAAAGTCTGGGGAGGGCTGAGCATCCCAGCGTGTCTACTAGGAGGGAACCTGAGCCCTGCAGCTCCACGGGACGGGACCTCGCACCGCTGCTCACACTTCGCCTGAGAGGGACAAAGGAAGGACCTGGGTTTCGGTCCAGGCTTGGTGACTCACAAGTGATCCCACAAAGTCCTGAACTTCCCTCTTCTGAAAGCGGAAATACTAACACCTCCCCTGGCAGGGGACTGTCTGGGGATCGAGGATGTCAAAGCATGAGAATGAGGGTCGCCATCACAGCCAAGGACCCGTGCCCCCTCTTAATTACTGCCCCCTGTGCACACCTGCTGCTCCCACCTGGCTCCTTCCAGCCAGGGCCCCAGCCCTCCTGAAGGACACGCCCCTCCTCTTCCCTGAGGTCCTCCCCATCCTCGAAGGCCCAGGAGGTCTTCTCGGGTCACCACCCTCAAATCAAATACCTCCTAATTTTCACTCATTCGTTCAGCTTTTATTTATTCCCTTTTTATGTCTCCTGTGTGGACTCACAGATGTCTTTTTTTGGGGGGGATGCCAGGGATTGAACCCAGGGGCTCTTAACCACTGTCACCAAAGTCTTAAGAAGTGTAAGAATCCATACTGAACGTGTCATTCCGTTCCCTCATTTTAAGGATGAGGAATTATATGGCATTTTAACAGTGATTTGAGCTCTGTACTTGGGTAATCAGGCCAATTATCTGAAACCATATGAAAAAGATACTGGACACTCCTGAGCCCAGTGTTCAGTGTGCATATACTACCTCTGCAGCTGGTTCTCAGGAGCAAGGACTGGGCCACCCGTGAGTGAGCAGTCACCATAGGATAGGGAGGAGAGTCTACGCCCTGCTCTGGTTTCCAGCCTCACACTGAACTTAGCAGCCCCTCCCTGCCCACCGGAGCAACAGCTTGCCCTAGGATGCCCACTTCTGCCTGCTGTGCTGCCCAGCCAGGGGATGTGTCCATGCTTGCCCAGCCTTGCAGACAGGCTGGGGATAGCAGGTAAAGCTACAGGGGTGGGGCGGGAACGCGGACCCAGGAGCCCCTGGGGAAAGTGCTGGGCACCTGAGCTGAAGTGTGGGGGTCAGCAGCATCCTGGGGGGCCCGGGATGGGTCGGTGGGCTGGGGTTCAGCTGTAGTGGCCGAACTCTGGGGGGCCTCGTGGCAAGACTCCTTCTTCTCCTCTGACTTGATGGTACAGTTCACCATGGTGCCAGCGCCATCCAGGGCCAGCTGGGCAGAGATGGGGCTCCTCATGGACATCCTGTGGGAGAAGGGAGAGTGAGCCAAGGTGAGTCCCATGTGCCAGGCAAGTGCTCTACCACTGAGCTATGCCCTCATCCCTTTTTATTTTTAATATTGAGACAGGGTCTCGATAAGATGGGGGTTAACCTCAAACTTATCCAGAGGTAGTGACTCCACTCTTTGCTCACCCAGCCCCGGAACACCCTGGAACCTCTCAAACAGGGAGACATACAAAATGGAAGTCTATTTTTGGAACCCAGAGAAAAATTAGTGAAGCCTCTTCTGTCCCTCTTGTAGACCTGAGCACTCCCCACCTGTAGGAACTGGTGGGCCAATGTGCTTATTTAAGGAGGACAGAAATTGTTAACTGGCTGCTTCCCAGCCAACAGAACTGAAAATGTGTGTGTGTGTATGTGTACATATTTGTAATTGGTTACCAAAACTTAAAAATCAAGAAATAGCACATAAAAATCTGGATTTGAACTTTCAGCCGAATGACGAAAGCTGGCTAGAATTGAGCAGTAAGTAAGTACTCCTCCTGCATAGGCGGGCTTGCCTTAGATGCCCTGCTCCCTACCTTACACCCCAAAAGGAAACCACGTATCAACTACCCTGAGTAAAGGATTCTCTTAGAAAGTGCAGGGAACCCAACTAGGGACCTCCTACATGCTAGGCTAGCACTGAGCCACACCCCCAGTCCTTTGTAGAAACAAGGTAAAAATTAAATATTTCTTCAATCCATGTATCTATCAAAAGTGGGAAAATAAAATGCAGGCCATGACATGAATGGTTTTAAGAAGATTATTTGCTGATATGTGGCTAGTCTCTGGTTTAGAAGATGGCCCCGCAGACAGACATTTGAATTTGCACTCCCTGGCAACAGGGCAGCAGCCAACCACCTGATAACCCTGCCTCACTGCTCTGCGGTGCCCCCGTGTGCCTCCCCGCCTGCCACGCCACTGCTGGGCACATCTAGAGGAGCCAGGCAATTGCAGGATCTTGTGAAGTTGTTTGCATGGTCATGCCAGGCTTGGGGCCAGAGAAGCAGGTACCCAGCCTCCCAAGTCTCGCATCCAAGGACGCATTCTGAAGTCCAGTGGGCACGTAAAGCAGGTTCCTACTAGTTATAGGTCCTGCCTCTGCTACTTGCCCAGCTATGTGACCCTGGGCAAGTTGCCTAGTCTCTGCAGTTTCCTGTCATTCACAAATCAGTATCTTTGGGGACTGGCCAGGGCTTTCAAATTAATTAATTTGAAAGGGGTGCTCTACCACTGGGCTACATCCCCGGCCCTTTTAATGTTTTATTTTAAGACAGTGTCTTCTAAGTTTCGGAGGCTGGTCTTGAACTTGGGATTCTTCTTGCCTCGCCTCCCAAGTAACCAGGATTAAAGGTGCGGGCCAGCAGCAGGGCCAGGTGATTCTGATAAGCATTTTAAATAAGGTCCCGAGGGTCCTGCCTTCATGGATGGGTTAATATCATCCATGTCATGATCAAGGAGTGGGAGTTATGGGGAGAGCAGTTTTGTTGTAAACTGAGTTTGGCCCCTTTTGGTCCTTTGTACCCTTCTGGCCCTCACCAGTCAGACATAGTGGCGCACACCTGTCATCTCAGCTGCTTGGGAAGATGAGGCAAGAGGATCACAAGTTCAAAGCCAGGCCCAGCAATTTAGCAAGGCCCTAAACAATTTAGGAAGATCCTGTTTCAAAATAAAATATAAAAGGGCTGGGGATGTAGCTCAGGGGTTCAGTGTCTCTGGGTTCAATCCCAGGTACCAAAAAAAGAAAAGAAGGACCTCGCCAGATTCCAGCCTCTTGAACTTCCCAGTCCCCAGAACTGTGAAAAATAAATATCTGTTTATCATAAATTACAGTCTGTGGTACTGTTATAGCAGCACAAATATACTAATACACATGTGGATTAAATTCTTAGGGGAGGTATAAGGATAAATCAGAACAGTAAAATATCCCTGCAATGGCAGGTGCAGTATGGTAGTGAAGTAGCCCTTTATCCTCAGAGGCTATGTTCCCAGACACCCCTGTGGATGCCTGAGGCTGTGGGTAGTGCCAACCCTATTTATACTGAAGTTCCTATACACATATAAACAAATCCAATGCCTTTTCCCACCTAATTAAGCATTTATCATCACACATTAGGACTGTAACTTGTATAGTCTGAGTTACCATAGCAAAATTAGCACGAAACTTCTTTTTCTGTCTTCATAATTTCATAGATTAAAGATTTGTTCCTACTATATATTTCTAGCAACTTAACCATACATTTTTCTTTCTTTCTCTAGTAGAAATTTTCATCATTTCAATGAAAGGAAGTACTTCACGGCTGCTCTCTGGCATATCCCAATTCCAGAATCACTGCCCTTGCACTTGGGGCCATTTTGTTCAAGTAAATAATAATAAGTGCTGCTGCAATACCTCAGTAGTCAATCTGACAACCACAATGGCTACCGAGTGACTAATGGGCAGGTAGAATACACAGTGTGGATACTCTGGACAAAGGGATGACTCACATCCTGGACAGTTTGAAATTTCATCCTGCTCCTCAGAACGGTGCACAACTTAAAACCTACGAATAATTTACTTCTGCCATGTACAACGGTATACATGTACCATATTTTAAATAAAAGAATTAAAGGGCATTATAATCAACTAAGATATGCATAAGATATATATCTGATTTGATTCCACCCTACTGATCAGACCCCAGCAGACTCTCTGCTCACCCACTTTCCAAGTGCACGGTGCCCTGAGGGCTGGTGCTGGACCCAGAGCAGGGAACTGCAGGGTGAGAAGAGAGGGGCCTCCCTATGAGTGTTGGCCCCCATCTCACCTAGACCAAAACAAGAGACCCCAGCCCTGAGGTCCCCTCCTACCTCTGGGGGACCTGGAGAGACTCCAGGAAGCAGGCAGCAGCCCATCCGGGCACCGGGAGGGGCTGGGAGCCGGGCCCTGCGCAGGGGGCAGGCGTGGGGGTGGGGCGGGAGGGGTATTATCCTGAAGCTGAGGGCAGCAATTACATAACAAACAAACCCCGGGCTCAAGCTGTGAATTAATCAAACCGCTGAAAATAAAACCTTCCTCTCAGGAACTTCAGACAAAAGAAATGAAAACAACCAGGCTGGCTGGGAAATAAAAGGCAGCTCGCTGAAAGGGGGACAAAAGGAAACCAGACAATAGGGTGTTGGACAAAAGCAATAAAGCCAAAGGAAGTGTGACAGGCGCACAATGCAGGCCCTGTGGGCTTCTGATCCCCGCCGGCTCTGCGCCACCTCATCCCACACCCACTGCCACCAAGCGGGCCACCGGGTCGCCTCCTCCTTCCAGACTTGGGTGCTCAGGGTTTTTCTCCTTCTTCCTGGCCTTCCAGCTCCTACCTCTAAGCCTTTCTTCCCACTGCAGCCCAGAGACCCTAGAAGCAGCCGCAGCAGTGGCCGCTGCCAGAGCACGGTAAGATGAGCACCAGGGCGCAGAGGCCTAAGGACGCCTCGCCGGAGCCTGTTCATCCCGTGAGCTGAGCCAGGAAGAGGAGGCGATCCTCTGTCCTGATAACTCTAGGACCGCACTGCCCAAGGCAGGTGCCACTGGCCACATGTGGCCACTGAGCACCTGTAATGGGCCAGTCCCAGGGGAAATGTGCTGCTGAGTAGCCAACACACCCAGGTCCCGCAGGTTGAATACACGAGACAGAGTGCAAACTAGCCCTCTGTAACTGGTTATCAATTACGAAGTGAAATTATATTTTGGATGGATTAGGCTAGATACACTACAACTCTTGAAATCCATTTCGCCTCTTTCTTTTGTTCATTCGTTCATTCATTCATTATGGTGCTGGAGCGGAATCCAGGGCCTCACACAGGCTAGGCAAGGGCTCTGTCACTGAGCTACACCCCTCACCCTCTTTCTGTGTTATTTGGAGGGGGGTACTGGGCCACTGAGCCACATCCCCAGCTCTTTTTATTTTTTGAGGATCTCTCTAAGTTGCTGAGGCTGGCTTTGAACTTGCAATCCTCCTGCCTCAGGCTCTGGAGCCATGGAGATTACAGGGGCTGTAGCCCCTCTTTTTAAATGCAAATACTAGAAATTCTTAACTTATGCATATGGGTCCCATTACATCTGTTGGGCAACCGGGGGCTCTAAGACACATCCTGGCTTCAATGGCCTTTTCTACCCACACTCTACCCCCCATATACACATCGCCCACGGTGCCCAGCTACCTGCAACCAGCACTGTGGATTATTTTTATATCAGGGAGCTGCCTCCTGGGCTCCCAGTACCTCGGCCTGGCCATTACTCGCTGGTCTATCTTGGGCATGTAACTTAACCTCTCAGCCTGTTTCCTCCTTAGTAAAATCGGAATATGAAAACCCAATACGAAGAGGTGAGTCTTCTGTTAACAACCCAGATCCTATCAAATGCGCCTGTGTTTCATTCTCCTGGCACTTTGCACTTGGCCTTCAAAGGTCCCATCACAGATGGTAATGGTACCTTCACATACCTGATTTATTTATTTTGGATTCACCCAGTAGCCAGAGAACCAACCCCACACAGAACATTATGAAAATAAACCTGTTTCTGCCCATCAATGCAGCCCCAGAGCCTAGTATAGTGCCTGGAGTATAGTAGGGTGTTCAATAAATACACAGCAATGACAAGTGAGTAGCATCCAATACAGCGGCACAGCACAGAGAAGACCTGGATTCTAACAGGTGACAGACACTATTATGACCATCATTAGGTAGATGATGCTCTGCCCGCCTACGCCCGGTTATCCTCTGCCACCTCTTCCTCGGATCCAAGCCCTTCCTCTGAGTTTGACCTAAATCCCTGTGAGCAGCAAAGCAAGTCCATTTCCTTTTGTTTTCACCTTGGGTCACATAAGAAACATTTTCCATACCTTTTAGATTTAAAGACCCTGTTGGAGTCCTCCCTTAAATCTCTTCTTTCCCAGGGATTTAACTAAAAAAAAAAAAAAAAACCTCAATTTCCTTTACCCCTCCCTTACAA